GCTATCCCGTGAAAGGTTTTAAAAAATTTCAAAGACGACTCCATATAATTTTGAAGTTGTTTCTATGGCATCCAGCTGTCCGATCAACGAAGTATTTCTTGAGAATAATCGCTTGGTGAGGGATACCCATTTTCCATTTATTACATTATTATCAGTCCTATGAGTTCTTAGTGGAGCATAGGGATTTAGTAGCACGTCACCATTTCACTTCCTCCACTGCGTTCTTTTTGACCTGGCTCCGCGACTGAGTGAGTGAGTATAGGCGACAGCTGTTCATGTGATGTATATCAGCAGTTTGTTGGAAATGCTTTTCGTAAGGTATCAAGTCTCTCAATCATGACACTGTTCAAGCACTCACCTACTTGACTGACATTCGTGTTGAAAATCTGGATGTTGTTCACACTTTATACAGGGTGGAGTGGAGCGGAGTAGATCTCCTCTCTGATTATTTCAGGCTAATGCAGGAATGTCTTTCTTGCTGTCTTTCTCATCGTGACTGGTTTCGACATCCTCATCTGTACCTGTGACCTTGCTGCTGCCTGTAACTGAAAGACGCTGCCTAGTTGGTAGGTAGGTTAGAGAGACAACTTCCTTCACATTTCTGCAGTTCCTCGTGATTGGTGCTTGTTGTTGTATTTGGTGTTGTTTGGGTATCTTCATCACCTCTATCTTCCATACATTCAGCTTTACCAAGTCCCCTCATCCTTCACTGCCCCATACCGCCTCACTTCGCCTCGCCTTGCATTGCCTTGCCTTCCCTTTTCTCCCAACTTCTTAGTTTTCCTCTCTAGATCTTTGAGTTTCGACAACAACACACTAGACACAAATCATCATCAAGAGCGAAATCTAAATCTCCTTATGGGGTCTTTCATCGGTCCAAACAGCCAGCCTATGTCCATCTCATCACAGCTCCACACAATTGATCGTTGCATGATCCAGTCAAGTCGACTCACACAACCACCAAGATCATCAGTGATAGTAGGTGGCAAGCTTGTCTTACTCCTGTCCACTTTCTTCATTTCGAAGTCATCACTGACCTCTCTATTGTCAATCACTTGACTGGCATGTAGCATCATCACATAGCATAGCAGATAGCTGTTGAATGAGGTCGATAAGGATTTGTGGTAGTGAAACCGTAGTGTTGAGGCAGCTACCTGCCGAATTACTTCTCGGTAGACGCTGTCGAAGACCTTTTCAAAATCGATGAAGTTGAGTTGATTCCCATTCTATGCTCTATTCTGTCAAGTATCTGGGCTTTCCCAAGTCAGATGTATGTATAAACACATTGGGTAGGTTATTACCTACCCAGTTCTGCCTAAATCATCTCAGTAGGTTATATTCAAGTTTCTGAATGAGATAGTCATCTATTTGAACCACATTACGTTTTCAAACAAATTTGACTTACAACCAGCAAACGTAATCGTCGTCATAATCCACCAGTTTTTGAGGTGTCAACAATGCGACAAACGGACATAGCAAGTAACTCGAATAAATCACCTCCAACCTGACCGGCTATCCTCAAGATCTCTCGTCACTGAAATTTGATTACATCCTTATCATCACTCTAATGTATTTAATGATTTATTTATTTATTTATTTGGGGTGACTTTAAAGGCCATCTGCATCAACGACTGAAATAACCAATTAGGTTTCTGCATTTTGCTTAGAAAGGCAGATTTTCATAAAATATAGTAATCTGATTCGTTAATTTGTTCTGCTGCTTGAGTGACCTTCAAAGTCTTTTCTGAGTGAGTTTTTATTGGTGCACACGTGAATATATGTGTAAGTGCATGTGTTTGTTTTGACAAGCTCGTCTGCATGTCCTTACTGCGGACATGTTCGTGTCAGCCTATCACACATCGTTCTATATCCACAACTTGGAATAAAAGTGAGTAGACTAGGTTACCTGTCCGTACAACTAATTACGACTCACTGATAATAAATAATCAGATTTTATTGGAAATTTCGCCTGAAATTGATTTTACCCCCCTCCCCCTCCCTCTTCGGATAACATTAAACGGTAAACTCGATAACTCCTCGTGTTGAAATAAAAAAAAATGAAAAATTTTAGAATCGGAAAAAACTATAGTTGTTCTGTTAGTTGGTTGAAAGCAATCGGCAGAAGCACTGTCTGACCTAGGTTTCGTGCTTTTGGCACTCGTCAGCAATGAGTATCTGCAACCTCAACGGAACTGATGTCCCGCCTGAGATTTAGGACTAGAAAACATGAAATTGGTTGCACTCCCTTGACCAATCAATACATAGTTGTTTTCTGGTAGGTTGATTAACCTAGGACGACTTTAAAAGCCAGTCTAGCAACTGCTGAAATCACCAGTCAGGTTTCAGTATTTTAGCTAGGAATATGGTTTTTCATAGGATGTAGCGACGCTATTGGTTATTTCAGCAGCTGCTGGGGTGACTACTAGGGTCCTTTTACTGAAGGTATGCGGTAGGTGGATCGATTAAGTTCCTTGTTCTACGTATACCAAATTGATTATCCCATCGACTGCTAAGGTAACCTTTAGAGTGACTCATAAGCTGGGTGATTTTAAAGGCTGCCTTACCGACTGCTGAATAGACCAATCAGGCTTCGATATTTCGCCTCGGAAAGTACTTTCCGTCAAAACAAGGGAATTTGATTGTTAGTTGCTAGGGTGGTAGTCAATGTTATGCAGTTTATGGGGGTTGACTCTAAAGATTACCCTAGCAACCACTGGGATAATCAATTTGGTTTCACATAGATTAAAAAACGAATGAATTTATAGGCTACAGAAGCAACTGATGAGAAGCCAATCAAATTCTTTTATTTCATGGAAAGTCACTTTTCCAGGAGAAATGTCGAAGCCTGATTGGTCTATTCAGCAGTTTTTAGGGTAGCCTTTAAAATAGCCCATAAGAAACCTAATATATCAACTCATCGCATACCTTCAGCTCGAAGACAAGGTTAGTGATTGACCTTAAAGGCCACCCCAGCAACTGTTGAAATAACCACTCAGGTTTTCGGCATTAGAAGTCAATCCTTCAGATGCCAGGGTCCTAGGTTTCTTTTTTCTTAGCATTAATCAGCAAAGCGTATCTGCACGTATGAGAAAACTGGCACCCCTTTAGAGATTCTAGCCTACTTCACTCCGAAATACAGTGCATTGCAACGTCAATGGCTGTGGCACTATGCGGTGCCGATTCAACCGTTAGGCAGGAGAACAGCTTCTACAAGCCCGTAGATACCTTTTGCTGATGAGTGTCAGCAAGTACGAAACCTGTGTCATCAACACTCTATTCAGTTCATGAGGTTTTGGTCGACTCCTCATCCCTTTATAAATGTAATCCATCATTATGTATCATATCATATTTTGTAATAAAAAGGCTCATTGTTTCATTGTTATAAATTACGGTGCTTCGTGGTCTATTAATTTAGTTGTATATACAAATCGTTTGAGATACACCTACAATAAACACCAGACGTTCTCTTGTAAGCGATTGCAACGAGGAGCTGAACTGTATGATTCATCATGTCGGTGGATTAAGTATATGAAAGTTGGCAAGCACATTGATGACCAATCCCATGCAAGTTCAGTGTTCAGACTGAATCAGGAGAGTCATAGAAATAATGGGGAATACTTGTAGCTCAGATGGATGGTCTTGGTTGTGTTGTGTTCTCTGATCTAGTTTGTTTAATCGTCAAGACGCTTTCATAGTTTTTCTAGACACCGACATCATCAGAACTAACTTCAATATGAAGTAATGAGCTGTCAATATCTCTCCCTGACTGAGTGATTTAGTGGCATGCTCTAACGATATGGTCTATGATTGGTTATTTCTTTCGATTATTGTGTCATTGATTGTATCAACTTTCCTATTGGCTGTTCTTCTGCTTCACATCTCACCTTTCTGTCGTTCATCATTTTCCTTATTCGTTGATAGATTGGGTCTATGTCTATACATCTATTGACTGCTGACTGACCGACTGACTGACCTGAATCACAAGCTCCTAGGAATTCTCTGATATTCTTTACATCTCCTCACTCCGTTGAAGATTTCCACATTGTCACAATTGAATTCATCTCCATAGTTGTTATCCACATACATTGAAATGAGTGATGAAATATCCTGTGTGACGTTTAATAGCCAATTGGTGCTCACGTAGACGTAGGAGAAGAGGGCAGTCACTTTGTCCAATGTGGTGTGTTGACTACAGTTGTTCCAGTTGATTTTGTAAATGATATTCGGTTTGTCTTGTTTGGTTGTTTCATCCTTTGGGTCGGCATAATAGTGTTTGAAGGGAATTTGTTGGTTTATGAAGCGCCACACGAACTCCACCAAGTTGTCTCACCAATCTTGTCATGATTTCTGATATATTCCTAATGTATGGTACGATGATGCGTTATTGATTTCTGTCGATGACTGTGTAGTTGGTGATGTACGGGATAGGCATCTTCTGATAAACTTTCGTGGGTAGCCATTCTTCTTTAGGGTGGACATCAAGTAATTTTTCTTCGTTTCCTCCATGAAGTTGTTGTGCTGCAGTGTGTTCTCGTTCTTTTGAATCGAGTCTGCACGCAACTGATCTTCTGTGTTTTGGCTTCGTGTACACTTTGGTTTCCAGTTTTCCGGCATTTGTCCTATTGACTAAAACATCGAGGAATGTTAGTTGGTTGTTTGACTCCTTCTCCATTGTGAATTTGATATCATTGAAAACGTTGTTGATCAAACTATACAGTCTCAATGATACAATAATCGAAAGAAATAACCAATCATAGACCATATCGTTAGAGCATGCCACTAAATCACTCAGTCAGGGAGAGATATTGACAGCTCATTACTTCATAATGAAGTTAGTGCTGATGATGTGACTGTCTAACAAGACGATGAAAGCGTCTCCACGATTAAACAATCCACTTCCTCAGAGAACATAATACAACCAAGAGTATTGATTTAAGATATCTGTAACTAAGCACAGTGCCAACTCATTACATAGATGTAGAATACTTGAAACTACTTACCTCCAGTATTCAAATGTTGTGGATAGTAAACAAGGAATTGAGTATTGCCGGTAATATGTGCTGGTGTCACTGTTGTTGAATGTGTTCCACTTGGAGCTAATAGTTGAGCAATACGTGCTGCATTATGACTAGAATCTGCTGTTAAACACTCGGGAGTAATAACACCGGCTAACATTACACTATTATTATTGTTATTATTATTACTATTAGTAACTGTACCGCCTGTTGATATGGTATGTGAGCTTTTCCCATGTTGTTGTTGTTGTTGTTGTATATTTAAAGCTTGACGTGGATATGCAATCATTTGATAGGTTAGATTACCAATTGGTAAATTGTTACCTGTAATATGATTGGCTATTGTATGACCTTTTAATTGACCAATATTTGTTGATGATGTATTACTAATCAATATTGGTCGATAATTAGTTGTAGATTGTTGTTCTATTACTCTTGGAAGTGTATGTATTTCATTCAATGAATATTGATTAATACTTCCACGATTACCATGTACATTTGTCTCTATCATTGATGATATACTAGTTGTATGTGATGATTGTTGTTTTGATATAACATTATGACTTAATTGAGGTTTATAACCAATATTAGATAGATTATGTTTAATAGATAAAGGATTTTGTGTATTTGTAGTTATGTTACATTGTCCACATGGGACAGCAGTTGGATTAACTGATGCAGATAGTGAATTGGTGACATTTGTATTCGTATCCATTGTAGTTAACGCTTCACTTGAAATTAATAATTGAGGAGAACGTGAATAGGACATAATAATCACCTGTTTGTATACAAAAAAAGAAAACTGATTGAAAAAAAAAACATTATAGCCTTATTTGTTGAATAATTCAGCTAAATTGGTTAATTAAAAGGTTCCTAGTTCTATAAAATCTACTGAGAAGCCTTGTGCACATTTGTACAGTGAATGAGGGTGGTGCTGGAACCCATGATCCACTTGGTTGGATGTCAACTCGCTGGTTCGAGTCCCGTATCAGACTTTGCTATGCATTACACTTTCATTCATCATTCCTTATCCATAGTATCAATTTGCTAGACCATCGACTATCTGTTCTGTACTTCAGTGAAGTGTAATGTCCACTTCGTTGTGTATGGCAATCAACCAATCCAGTCCAGTCAGATAGTTTCTCAGTCAGTTTATTCGGTTACCACCTAGTGGTCTATGAACAATACGAACCTAGTACACAAACTCTAATGCAAATCAGAACGTCAACCACCACCACAACAATATCACTGACACGCTAAGATAAGAAGAGAAGACAGACTGCTATTCTGTCTCAACAACAGTCAATACAGTTATGACAGTTGCGATGCTGAATATATACACCTCCGGATGACCTTGACAATACTATATCCACATAAAGTGAAAATATTTAACAACCAATGAGAGATCAGCCTTCAGAACAGAGGGAAGAAAAACTAGTGATCGTGTGAAAACAGTCATGAAGGTTATTTTAAGGTCATGGGAAAAACAGCAGGAAAAAGCTATGCAAATTAGGGGTATACAACAATTAGCTTGCCATGTCAGAGATGACTGAACAGGATGACTGCCGCTCAAGTAATCTGCACATGATCCAGATTATCTCGTCTAGAAATACAATGTTACAATTGTCTAAGTGGTATTTGCTAACCATACTACTACTAAACGGTACGAGTAGTAGAGAACACTGTCAATATTTTGAAATAGGATATCCCAACCGGATAGAAATGATCTATGTGTAATGTACAGAAGTCTTTTCTTGTAATTAGAATCTAGTCCAACCGCCGAACAATTGATGAGTTCGACTTCATATGAAAGGATGAGTGTACTCACTGTAGTCCACCAACCCTTTTTCATATAGCTGTGTGACATGACTGTGTAAAGGTATGAAGAGATAACAGCTTTGTGGATACAGATGTATTCCTAGCCTTGCTCAGGTAAACTAGAACCATCGTGTGACTAATGGTGAGGTTAACCGAAAGGTGTTAGGCAAGACAAGGGAACTCGGCAGTGAGGTTGTGAACGTCCAACGACTGCAGGGACTTCTCAGGATAAGAAATACCACCAGTTCGTGAAGTTTTCAACTGTCAATCTCAGCCGTATACAGCGTCATAGACTGATTAGCTGGGGTCATGAGAGACGATAGAAACCAGCAGATGGTACCTCCTTGAGAAACTTCAATATTCTACAATATCCTGGCTCCTGTGTGGATACTTCGATATCGCCTGTGGTTTCAGCTTGATGGTCAATGGTTGGTTGGTTAGACGCAATCGGAACAAAACCCACTTGATCAAGGCTTCGTATTTTTCGGCACTCGTCAGAGAAGCTAGTTTCTAATGGTTCATTCATATTACTCAGTATTCTGCGAAGCGGGGGGGACGGAGGGGGAGAATGCCAATACGAATACACGAACTGCTCACCAACGGATAACAAATATCTCTGTCTAGTCTTTAGTACTCTCCACTGACCGAAGTCTATGCTTCAAGTATGACAAAAACCTACTTCACACATGGCTTCGACCATCTTAAACCGAACTACAGTGCACCACAGTGTGTTGCGCCCAAAACTCCATCAATACACCTTGATGACTGCTCAGCATCTATGGGTGCCAACAAGCACGATACCCAAGTGTAGGATTTCCTGCTGACTGACTACAAACATGTATCACAGCAGAATGAAACACCTCTGGAAATGGAGATAGATTCATGTGATTAACCGTGAATACTAGAAAGCATACGATCTAATTTTTTCTACTGTCAACCAACAGTTAACATAACATACAGTCTCATTGAGACAATTTTACACTGTCTGCCACAAAATTACTCATACAATAATGTACAAACGAACATAGTTACAGAAGGATGATTAACTTTGAAGGTCAATCTAGTCGTCTTGCAACAGCCAATCAGATTTTGTTATTTCGTCAGGAATGTCAGATTTGCATAAACTCATGAAATCTGATTGGTTATCTCAGTTAGTGTAGGGATGGTGTTTGAAATCACCTCACAAGTAGATACACACGAGATCAATGAAGCCTGGTGAGAACAAATCAGATAGAGAATTTTGGTGATAATCTACACTTTGCTCTTAGGTGAATGAGAACGTGGCAACAACTGTCATGAACAAAATAAAACGAAATCTCCACCTGAAGAAGTTCAAAACGGTGGTGACAGACAGCACACGGAGATGTTTATTGCCACCCAGGTAGTTCAGAGTAAGCAGCTACACAAATTCTGAAGGCACGTGTATTTGGTATCTTAAACGAACCCTTTATCTGCATGTACAACAAGGCATAATGGCAATAATAATAATAATACAATCGAAGTGTGTAGATCAACACAGATGAAACCAGTGGAAGATAATGAAGGGAACCGAGTTACCAAAGAGGAGAAACAAAGGAAACGAAACTTCGAAAAACTCTTGAATCGACCACCACCATGACCTGCAACTCGTCCAGAAATACAACCAACCAACCAATCACAGAATTATCAGTGAACACAAACCCTCTAACGAAAGCCAAAGTTCTTAAAGCTATAAAGTTGCTGAAATTCGGGAAAGCAGCATCCTCAGAAGCAGTGAAAACTAACGCCGAGATAACAGCGGACATGTTCATAGCACTATTACACAAGATTTGGAAGGAAGAAAGTAAGGAAGTAAAGGAAGGTACCTGCATATTGTAAGAATGGTTACCATATTAAACTGCCAAAGAAGGGGGATGTGAGTCTTTGCACGAACTGGAACGGAATCATGCTCTTGTCCACTCCAAGCAAAATATTATACCGCATCATCTTGGAGAGGGTAAAAAATACTCTAGATTCAAAATTGTGATGGGAATAGGCTATTTGGGTTCAGGTAGAACAAGTCATGTGAGGATCAAATTGCAACGCAACGCGACGCTACACACCATCATATAACAGAGTATAAAATGACAGCCAACTGGATGTTTATCTCAAGTTCATCGATTTTGAAAAGGTCTTCGACAGCGTCTACCGAGAAGTAATTCGGCAGGTAGCTGCCTCAACACTTTGGTTTTAGTGCTTCAAATCCTTATCGACCTCATTCAACAGCTATCTGCTATGCTATATGATGATGCTACATGCCAGTCAAGTGGTTGACAATAGAGAGGTCAGTGATGACTTCGAAATGAAGAAAGTGGACAGGAGTAAGACAAGCTTGCCACCTACTATCACTGATGATCTTGGTGGTTGTGGTGGAGTCGACTTGACTGGATCATGCAACGATCAATTGTGTGGAGCTGTGATGAGATGGACATAGGCTGGCTGTTTGGACCGATGAAAAGACCCCATAAGGAGATTTAGATTTCGCTCTTGATGATGATTTGTGTCTAGTGTGTTGTTGTCGAAACTCAAAGATCTAGAGAGGAAAACTAAGAAGTTGGGAGAAAAGGGAAGGCAAGGCAATGCAAGGCGAGGCGAAGTGAGGCGGTATGGGGCAGTGAAGGATGAGGGGACTTGGTAAAGCTGAATGTATGGAAGATAGAGGTGATGAAGATACCCAACAAACAACACCAAATACAACAACAAGCACCAATCACGAGGAACTGCAGAAATGTGAAGGAAGTTGTCTCTCTCACCTACCTACCCAACTAGGCAGCGTCGTTTCAGCTACAGGCAGCAGCAAGGTCACAGGTACAGATGAGTATGTCAAAACCAGTTACGATGAGAAAGACAGCAGGAAAGACATTCCTGTATTAGTCTGAAATAGTCAGTGTGGACATGTACTCTACTGCACTGCACCCAGCATAGAGCGTGAACAACATCAGATTTTCAACACGAATGTCAATCAAGTAGGTGAGTGCTTGAACAGTGTCATGATTGAGAGACTTGACACCTTACGAAAAGCATTTCCAACAAACTACAGATATACATCACATGAACAGCTGCCACCTACACTCACTCACTCACTCACTGAGTGGATTCTGACACTGAAGATGGAGATGAGATTAGATGGGCAGAATAGGATGATAAGAATGAGGAAGTGGGAACTCTGGTTGACTGTCAACGAACTAAGCAATGGAGCAAGAATCAATCACCCGACCGATATGCAGTGGAGGAGAGTGGATATGTATGTGATTGTATTGTGTTTTATTGTATTGGAGATAGAGTGAGAAGACGGTTTTTGGATATGAGGTGTGAGGCGAGTCCAGGTGAGTTTGTGAAGTGGATTCCTCATGAGAAACGACGTGTTGGGCGTGTGGGGTGATGGTGACATGGAGGTGAGTGTATGATGAAGAAATGAAGGGTTGTGGTCAGTGATGGAGGGAGGTTGAAGAGATTGTAGGGAATAAATTGGAATGGCGACGTGCTACTGAATCTCTATGTTCCACTAGGAACCCAAAGGACAAATAATAATAATAATGTGTGTGCGGTGTACATTAGGCGTTTGTCACTTGGTCTGTTAATACGTTACCCTGACGAAGAAAAGCATAGGACCCTGTGATTTCTTTGTGATCTGCTCAAGGTATTAATGGACAGCGAAGAATATATATACTGGAAGCAACCTGTGCCGTGGTAGGATTCGGTTTCTCAGCGCAATGCTGTATAATTTGAGCTGTCCAACTATCATGAGGATCCGCGATAGGTGCACTGGCTGTTAATCGACATCACACTGGTTGACATGTCAGAGGAGAATATAAGCAAGTAATCTATATTGAGTGGTCATTGAAGGGTAACCAACTTCACGCTGTCTAGTCATATTTGTAATGTGGATACCAAACTAGGTAGTTCAGTATTGTGATGTCCTTTAATAGAAGT